AATTTATTTCACAATAAATAAATAAATTCAAATGAGCTCTAGAGATGAAGAAAATGATATGGATGGGTAGAGCGTGATTTTAGATGAATTTAGTTAAAAGAATCAATGGAATCGGAGTTCGTACGAGGGATATATTGATTTTGCTAGGTGGCCGCTAATTAATCCTGTAAAGGGTGATTAAGGAAAATGATTAGTGGCATTTGGCTAGCTGGTCACGTGAATTGGATTTCACGTAATGGACTTGGAGTGGGTCTTTGGACTTAACGAGCACATCAAGACTGGAGTGTGCTTTGGGCTAAACGTGCTTGGCGATGGAGTGCTGGTTCATTAATGCAAGTCAAGGAATTAATGGGGGAGGAGACCACAGGTCAAGGAAATATTAGAGAATGAGAAGATCAATTGCAAACTAGCTAGCTCAGCTGATTATTGCAGCTCGGGAGAAATCGATAGATGTAGCTTTCACGAGCAAGAACAGAGAAACTTGATTTGAGAGAAGCAAGGGAGCAGCGGAGCGGAATGGCTCGGCATATCCTTTTAAAGGCAGGAGACGCGAAGGCGCGACAGCGACGCATCATAAGGTTAGTGGTAAACTAGCTTGCTTAAAGGTAACAAAGTGCTGCTTGCGCACAACATGCTGCTCGGGTGAATAGTGTTTTCTATGGTGAATAGTGTTTTCTATGGTGAACAGTATTCTGCGGTGAACAGTCCCGACGTGCAAGATGTGCCCGGCATGCAAGACGCAGTGGATAGTGTTGACTTTATGCTACAGTAGAGCACTGCTCCCAACATCCTTCAACAAATTACTCCGCAATTGACATAAGACGACAAAAATTGCCCTAAAGAAATGGCACAGGAGATGCTGCAAAATAAATTGAAAAATAAGTACTTGCTCGTGATAGATGGTGAAGTCAGTGATACTAAATGGAAGCACTTTTTGACTAGCATCCCAGTTGGCACTAGGGGTAGTAGAGTAGTGCATATCACACAAGGCAAACCAGAAGAGCAAGCGGCATGCGCAGCGAGCAGAGCTTGTGATTGAGATTAATGAGTAGCGTGTGCGATGCTGCTATCGGTCGGTCATGTGCTGCCAACTTGACACAACAAAGTAAAAGCACTGCGTCTTGCCAAAGAATGTATTGAAGCGTGCTTCGCGGGCTTGCGAGTGCCGAGTGCGTGCATGGGAAATTAAGGAGGAGAAGAAGAATAAAAGCTGGAGTTGGATCAGGATGAATGAAAGTGATTTGGGCTACAGAAGAATACTTGGACAAGGAATAAATTAGAGCTCAATTTGAGAATTAGTGCAATAAAATTTAATTTCTCATTTTACCACATGCAATAATACAAAAACATGATGCTCATGACATGGTTTTAGCAAAAACTATACAATGTAACACCGATGGTGTTATAGTTACCTCACTTGTGGGTAGGTTCTTGTGGTGTCCTATTGTGTGGACGAGGTTCGTGCAACACCTCTTAGCTGCCGAACCACCAAGTGTTGGTCGACACAACGGGGACGTAGCGTGTTGGTAAGCACGTGAACCTCGGGAGAAAATTGGTTGTCTCTTGTCCTTTGGTATTCTCCCGATGATTAATTAAGTATTCATCTTGTGATTGGTTCACTCCTCTACGCGGCGGTATAGTCACTTACTCATTTACACTCCCGCAAACTAGCTATAGCAAGCTCTTTAGTATAGCTAGAATTGAGAGCATGCTTTGTAGATTAAGTTCATCTAGTGGAGCTCTTTAGTGTAGCTGAGAGCTCTTAGTGAGTAGTGACCTAGTAGATTGTGTGCCTAGTGATCATAACAACTAGAATTGTTGAATAGGTGGCTTGCAACCCTTGAAGAGCTAGAGCAAGTTTGTTTTTTGCTATTTGTCATACTAATCAAATTGTTCTAGTTGGTTTGTAGATTTTTAAATAGGCTATTCACTCCCCCCTCTAGCCATATTAGGACCTTTCAGCGAGAGAAAGGAGGGAGACGAAGAACCAACTCGGCGGCGGCGAGCTCGAGTGCCATGGCGGCCATGGCGGACGCGTGCGGAGCGGCGACTCATTCCGGTGCCGTCAAGAGGTGGCGTCATCCCTAACTCCGGCCTAAGCTTTTAGACTCTATCACAGTGCTAGACCAAAGAAAATGAAGGCATGCGGTGCGGCAGAATGGCGGGGCCACGGTGAGCCGTGAGCGTGGTGGCGCTCCGATGACGGCGGCGGCTACGGTGAGGCGAAATGCTGCTCTACCTGGGTTCGGTAGGTGGTGCTGGTGGCTCGAGGAGGTAGAGGTGGTGGCGTAGCAGCTGTGGCCGAGATGAATCAGCCGGCAAGGCTGTGTCGGTGGTGAGTGGTTGCGGCGGAGCTGCGGTGGTGTTCGGCGCGGCGCTGCGGAGAGGTAGAACGAGCAAGAGGGAGTGAGAGTGGGCGAGTGGATGGAGTGGCGGGTGCGCGGTGCTTAAGTGCGCGCTTGGGCCTGACCGGCCGGGCCAATGCCGGCGTGCTGCCACCACGCGGCGGCCACGGCCTGTGGCCGGTCGGCCACGCCGCCGCGCGCGTCCACGCGGTTCAGACCACTGAAACCGACTGACAGTGCAACTTAGTGACTCAATAACTCCTAATCCGTGGTGAATTGGCAAAAACTTCCTTAATAACTATTATAGAGCTACATGAGATCTCCAACTTTGCTTTAAAAACCATTATCTAATTCTTACTGGTTAACAAACTACATTGCTCCAAAGTGAGGTACTTTGAAACTGAAAACCGTTTCCACACTTAGAAAATTTTGTGAGTCTCAAAACAACATTTTGTTGATACTTGTGAGCTATTTTTGAGCATGCTATGCACTGAATTAGACCTTGACCCAAAAATAAAAGTTGTTACCCTAGTCAAGTACTACAACTTTTATTTAGGTCACACAGCCATGCAAATAATCTAAGCTACTGTTCAGCTTTGGTCAAACTAGCATCATGAAAATGGCATTTCAAATGAAACCAACACTTCAAAGCAAAATTGACCTAGGTTATGAATACAAACATTGTTCCATTGATCATCCTAGATGTATCTAAAGTGTTTTCATGACCTCATAACCATCTCATACATTGGTCATACATGATTGCAAACATAAACATATATATATATATATATATAAATCAACATTTCATGTGACAAGGTATATGAATGATATGAAATTTCATATGCTCATGTTCATGAATGCTTGGATGATGCTTGTGCTCATGAAATGCAAGTGTCAAATGCAATGCTTAACACTAGGGTGTTACAACGCGGAGCTCGATCACACGGGCCAGATTGCAATCGGGACATTGAATCAAAGGAAGCCAAGTTTCTTTACCGACCGGATACACCACAACATGCGCGCACGGAGCTCCTGCCTCGTTCCTGCCTCCTAACCGCCCTACTGGCGCTGGACGACTGCGCCCTATGCGACATGGCCACCGTGGCGTAGGGACGGCGGGAGGGGAGCGGGAGGCGACGGCGGGCAGGGAAGAATGCGTTGCCGGCGGAGGGGAGGGGGATGGAATGAGCGAAGGAGATAGCGAGGGCGGGGCCGGCGCGGCGTAATGAACAAAACAGGTAGGGGCAGCAATGACTTTTGACCTACGTCTGCTGACTGGGCGTCAGCGTGTTGGGCTAGCCTAGCTTGCCACATATGCAAATGTGGTAAACCCAAACCTAAAACTTCTCTCATCTGGTAAAGTTGTAAGTGTCATCTTAAGAATGACAATCGGATGAGCGACACTTGTAATAATGGTAAAAATGTAAATTTCCCCGCTCAATGGCATTCTCCGCGCGACGTGGCCTCCTCGACTCGGCGTAGCGCCGATGAAGCTTAGCGAACAGCGGCCTTCTCCGCTCGGCGCGATTCGCAACAGCGCGTCCTCCTCCGCCTCCTCCTCTGCGAGCAGGTCTGGCTTGGACGGTTCACCGGCCTTGGTCGCGGAGGCACGGAGGGCGAGGTTAACGGTGCTGCGCCTCTTCCTGCTGCTCCTCGATAGCAGCGGCTTCCTCTTCCTCGGCTCCGGTCCGCAAGTATGCACAAGAAAGCGGTATTTCCTGACCAAACCTACGTCCTTCGTTGGGATAGAATCACTGGGATAAGTGACCTTCATTTCCCATACCTGATCTGACGGCATACCCCTTTCCCACTATTCAAACATGGGTTTGGCTGTAACCATCTCCTTGTATCCCTTTTCCACCACTCATTTCCCACTTGCCAAACGCCACCTCAGTCCTCACTCCTCAATCCCACCACACACCCCCCGCTGTCCAGCCGTCCTTCCCATCCAACTAACGGCGCGTTTAGATTCAAATTTTTTTGGGTTTTGGGTATGTAGTACTTTCATTTATATTTGGCAATTAGTGTCTAATTATGGACTAATTAGGTTCGAAAGTTTCGTCTCGCGATTTCTCACTCAACTGTGTAATAAGTTTTTTTTCCGTCTACATTTAGGTCCCGTTTGGCAGGGCTTCTCTAGCGGCTTCAGGAGCCGCTTGGAGCCGTTTTTGTCAAACGGAGTAAAATAAAACGGCTCCACTGATGAAGCCCCTAAAAACGTGCTCTCACAGAGCTTTGGGGTGGGAAGGAGCCAAAAATAGTAGCTTCTCTCGGCTTCACCTCATTTTACATAACGTTCTCTGAGAGCATATTTTAAGAAAAACTATATGCAAAACTGTTTTGCCAAACGATTTATCAAAATGGCTACAGCTCCACCCATAGAGCTGTTTATGGAGATGATGCTCCAAAAAAGAGCTTCATGGGTGAAGTGGAGCCATGTCAAACGAGATCTTAGTACTCCATACATATACCGTAAGATTCGATGTGATAGTATACAAAATTTTTTTGGAATCTAACAGGCCCTAAACCAAACCCCAGCCACCGCCGCGTCTCCCTCCAGCCGGTCGACATGGGAGGCGCATGGATGGTATGAGGGCGGTTGCCTCTCCCTCCGGTTCCAATCTCCCAACTTTCTTCCGTTGGTGCCTTGGCGGCATGGCCGCCTTTGCCCCCGGCTCAGGCTCCGCCTCCGCTCGGGACGCGGATGCCGGTGCGAGCGCATTAGAGTTCGGGAGGAAGGAGGCGGAGGCGGACTGCGGCCACATCTCCGCCTCGCAGGCGGACCTCCTCGCCCTCGCCCACTTCCTTGGCGGCGGCGGCGGCGCCGTTGAGGAGGAGGAGGCCGAGGTGTTCAGCACGCCGCCTCTCACACAGCAGGACCCGCAGAGGCAGGGCCAAAGCCAGCGAGGCCAGGCGGGAGAGGGGGAGGACGGCATCACCATGTGCTCCGTGCCCTTCACCCAGACCCAGCCTTCCCCTTCTCCCTCTTCCTCCCCTCCCTCGGATAGTCGGGAGCGGAAGCCGCTGAAGCCTAGGATCTGCACGAGGAAGGTGAGAGGCGGCGCGACTCCGACTCCGACTCCGACGCCGACGCCGAGCCCCAGCCCTAGCCCCGAACTCGACCCTCTCGTCAGGATCGTGCTCATGATCCCCATCGCTCCTCTTCCAACCACCGGTCATGAGGACATCCTCGAGCTTGCTCGCAGCCGCGGCATCTTCTGAGTTGCCTATGTCATGCTGAGTGAGTAAGTAGCCCATTCTGTTCTACCAATCAATCCATCCATTTCATATGCTAGTATTGTGTTATTGGTTTTTATGCATTGTCCAGCAACTTCATATGACTGTCTTCTCGGTTAATGTTGCAAGTCATTGTATTTTGATCATGTGGAAGTTACTATGCCTTGTTTGATTGCCGCAAGAAAAGTAGCTAGCCATGAGCATTTCGTCATTCACTCTTTCCACTGATGCAATGTGATATTTGCAGTAGAGCAACCTGTAATATTAGTGTTTTGCGTTTTGGAATTCAGATGGTACATACATTTGTTTCTGGTTTGCCCACTTGCCCCCAAACCCACAAGTCTGGAACTAGCAGTAATACTAGAAAGCTAGGTGTGGCCTTGCTGCGCCCCGGCGTTCGTAGCAGGGCCAGTGCACCTGTAATTGTGTATGGGCCAGAAAGATATTCCGAGTCCAATCGGTGGAGGAGATAATATCTTTGCTGCGCCGTGCAAATCTGTTGCCTTACATTTTTTCCCCCTGTATCGTCTCTGCTAGTGTCACTGTTCTACTCCAGCGCTGGTAGTTGTCGTGGTTCTGGCCCTTGCGCCCTTGCACGCACCTTGTCTCAGAATGATGCGAGGGTAACGGCCAGTCCTATGTTGAACCTGAATGTAAGAAGTAAGCCAGCAGCAGTAGGTGGCCGCTCCACATTTTTCTCTCTCTCAGACTCCCCTCTGTTTTATATGAAATCAGAAAAGAGCAACTAATAGTCCTGTTTTTTTTATCAATTTTGGGCATGGATTTTTTTATATCAATTTTGGGCATGTATAAAGTACAGTCTACTGCATGCAAAACATATGTACGTGTTTTTTTTGGCAGCGGTTTGCTAGTGTCTCTGGAAAGCATCTGTTTGCTTTGAAAAAAAAACGAGTGATTTCTCCTGCTGAGAGTGTATGCATGATGTGTTATTTTCTCTCATATTTGGCAGGGCTCCAAAACAAGGACCTCATACCACAAGTGGAGCAAGGTGTGGAAATTTTGAAGACCAATGCTCTCCATTCCCATTAACAAGCGCAAGCAAGCAAGGAGCAGCCAATGATCTAGGACAGGGTTCAAGCTGGATTCCGAAGGGTCTGAGAATAGCCTGAGTGCTGTAATCTGCTTTGCTTTTGTAGTGCCCTTGTTAATGCTGGTGCTATGTAAGCTGAAATGGTATGTTGGCTAATTTGGTCGCCTTGCTCTTGACCCCTGGGTGATCTGAGTAATGGCTGTAAACTCTGTAATTTCGTTGCTTCCAAGTAATGAAATCTGGGTTTCCCCGTGGTGGAAAAAAAGACTATTCTTTTTTTTGAAGATTTAACTTAGATGAGTAGTCTCTTTCCGCTCGATTAAATTGTCCAATACATTATTGAGCCCTGCCTAATTTTCCCTGTCCTGACGATCAAGATAGTCACATTGTTTTCTTACAAGAAAAGTTCTCCGATGATAGAATTTGTGTCTGGCCCTTCCAGATCTTGATAAGCAGCAGGCAGACAGACGAGTGGAGTAGTGCATTGAACTGTGCCAGTGCTTTTCGGATAAAACAAGATATTGCTGCAGGTGCAAACAAGCTAACTCCAAAATAGTACCGATCAAGTCTAGGCGATCTTGATCCTGCATAAGGATCATGTCCAGACTCCAGAGCATGTTTTTTTTTGTCTTATATAAACATCATGTCCTACAGGATGATGATATGGTGAGATAGTCAAAATGCTTCGAGAGCTCTATCTATCCGTGGCTTGTTGTTTTAATTTACACCAAAATACTCTCAACTACAATTCCAGCATTAGTAGATTGGATAAGGGGTCTAGTTTTTATTAGCAGTTCCTGACCTCTTATTCAATCTAGGACTATAGAGTGTATAACATTGTTATACTATGTCTTTTTTCAGCAAAAAGTGCAAGGACTGTTTCCTTAGAGGATAGTAACTCAAAAGTAGCATTAGTAGATTGGATAAGGGCTCTAGTTTTTATTAGCAGTTCCTGAACTCTTATTCAATCTAGGGCTATAGAGTGTATAAAATTGTTATACTATATCTTTTTCAGCATAAGTGCAGGGACTGTTTCTTTAGAGGATAGTAATTCAAAAGGTAGCTCTTCAGTTTGCGATAAAAGGTTCCTGAGATAAGAAGAGAAAAAAAACAAAGACTGCCACAAATAGATTCTTAGGTTAGAAATATAAGAAGAATTGTAGCCTTTGCTACCACTGCATTCTAAATCAAACTCTTCTATAGTATAATGTCTACACATATTAAAGATACTACAATTGTGTGCTGAAATATTCGATTATATTGAAATGGTGCTCTTGCGTGAACCTTAAAAAAGACCAACTTGGTGATGCAAAGAACCAAGAAATATTATAGACATTAATATTAGCAAGCTAGGATCATGGAACATCAGCGTCATACTAGGATCAGAGGCATCAAATGCTATCTGAATTGTTAAATTTAAGTGAACTACTAAAGGTGGCTAGATTTTGAGGTTTAGCTTAAACGTCAAGGGATCACTGAATTTGTTCATCTGTCACTCATCAGGGGCATGAGCACGTGTTAGTAATACCAGTTCATTGGTAAGGAAGTTAAAGATACTGATAACCAGAGGATTGGTTGCATAGATTCCTTTTAAAGCTTATAGGCACATTATGTAATTACCTGCCACCATGAAATGAGTAGGACTCCACAGAGTAGCATGGGTGGGTTCGTTTAACTGAATTACAGAGCAGACATCCGATGTTTACATATCCGGTTATCATGATTATTGTTCACTCAGTGACTCAACGATCACGGTCAAATCACTGAAAACCAGCGGTAAACTAATACTGCGCCATTTTCATTTCATAAATCTTATATATTTATAGGATGTACACGTTTGACCACACAGGAGCAAAGCAACACCATGAACAGATATGCAAAAGGTCCATTGCCAGCTGGGCACTTCACATAATCACATATGAATCACTACTCCGGCCTCTAGTGTTCAATATCACTTCGGTTTCATCTCCTCGATGGAACGATCATTATATTGCCATCCATGTACAGGTGGGTAGCCTGGGGAAATTTACTGGGCCGAAAAAAAACACTGTTTAGCGTCACCAGAGCTCACCGTTCTATACTGCAGTTGTAATGTTTATTCTGCGTTTACAAAAAAGTGAATTCAGTTTTAAACTAGCAGTTTCGTGTACTTGAATACCATGGTGGCTACCAGCTATTGCTCGAAACTGTACTTTCTTGTAGTATTCATTTTCCGGTGTCTCGGTATTGCTAGAAACTGTACTTTCTACCAGCTATTGCTCGAAACTGTACTTTCTTGTAGTATTCATTTTCCGGTGTCTCGGTATTGCTAGAAACTGTACTTTCCTGTATTCATTTTCTGGTGTCTGTTGTAATTGTAAGAATTATTAGTAATATAAATACCGCAAGTTGCACTTTTTTTTTTTGCGACTAGTTGCGCCTGTAGTTTGGGATCCAGTAGTAACCAATATAGGAGTATTTGTCAAAGCTTGAATAAAGTGCTGTGTGATAACTAATAAGCGGCTAAAGTGTAGTACTAGATGGTTTCTGTCTGTGAACCTGTGGTATGTTCAGTATGAGTAACTGAATAGTGCCATGCTGGATAAAATGAGGTGTATCGACTGATGTAATCACCTCCTCACCTCTAGCTTAATTATGAAACTGAATATTTTAATTTTATAGGTGAATGTCAAACAGGTAACATGGGTTGTTATGGGCAGCCCTGTCGCGACTCTAAACATTCTTTGCATCTCCCGCGACAGAGGTAACTCTGAACAAGTCTAAAGTCTGAACTCTAAAATAGTCTCTGCATCTCACGCGATAGAGGCTATGGGCAACACATACTGGTTGGATTTGCACACTTATAAAACGCATGAACCCCTAACATTGGGGATGCAGGGGGGAGTCTACATATTTCTAGCACACACCCATCGCTACTCCTTGTATTCTTCTGAGTAGCGCTTTTTTCCCCCCCTTCCAATTCATCATCTAGCTTTATATGTGCAAGCTCAACTTAAAGATGCCTCACCAGTTCTAATGGCGGAAGCAGGGGCTCTAGCTTTGGCAGCAAGAATTGTCAAACTGCTCAACCTCACTGAAGTAAACCACATCTCTCATAATGCACCTTTTGTCAACATACTGACCGGGAGATATAGAGGACTACCACACGACTGGAAAAACAAGCCTCTGGTCATAGTTTTCCAAGCTCATAATACAAACATCCAGCATCAGATTTTCAAGTCAACAGGACTGAAAAAGTAACTGCCCACAGCCTTGCCACCAGAGCAAGATTTTCTTCCTCTTCTAGTCTCAATTTCTGCTGCTCACATCCTCTTCATGCTACTCAATGTCCAGTTAGAAACTCTTTGCTGGATGCTATTTGGGAGCCTTTTGAACTCCTCCATGTAATCTGTTCTTGATTTCAATATATCGTCTGTTATTAAAAAAATCATTTCATATTTTGTAGAAATAACCCTTGACTTACACAAAGTCCCCTAACCGGTGATTACTGCTGGCAGCGCTAGGGCTAGCCACTGCTCCTCTCTTGTCTACACAAGTGAAGTGCCATTGCTCTTGAAAGATTGGCTGGTTCGCTTTAGCATACAAATTATAACCTTGACCTGTAATTGAACGACTTTTAGGTTGCTAAAATTCATTGTATTTCCAGTCACCGGTAGAGAACCGAGCTTTACTCCCGGTGGGGAACCCCCTCTAGTCCCGGTTCCCCACCCGGGAGCAAGCATCCGGGACTAAAGGGGAGTCCTTTAGTCCCGGGTCAGAAACCGGGACTAAAGGAGGATCTTTAGTCCCGGTGGGTAACATCAACCGGGACTAAAGGTGCCTCCTGACATGCCACGATGGCGGGCACCTTTAGTCCCGGTTAATATCTGACAACCGGACTAAAGGTTTTTTTTCTTTTTCTTTTCTTTTCATTTTTTGTTTTCTTTTCAAAATA